GGGATCTGGGGCCCAGGGGTGGGGCGACCGACTCGGGGAGCGGAGGCAGGATCCCGAGGGCCCGGGAAGGCGGCGCAGGGGTTCCAGGCGGGATTCTGGGGCCAGGAGAGGAGGTGGGACCGGGGACGAAGGGATCCAGGCCCGGTCGGCCTGGCGTTCGGTGCCCCCTCACCACTAGGCGCGTGGCGCGCGCAGTGGCCCCGGGCGCCCTTGGAGGAAGCTGCTTCGGCGGCGCCAGAGTTGGGCTGCCACGCCCCGGCTGGGATGCGACCCGGCTGCAGCCCGAGGAGGGCACTCGGGCTGGGCTTTGGGGCCCTTGCAGTTGTGCAATGCGTGCGACTGCTCGACTTTCGGCCACCTCGGGACCACCCAGGGGGACTATCGAGGGGCAGGCCGGTTGCCTGGATTCCCTGGGCTTAGCAACTAGTGGTTCTGCAGGGAGGAGTAGGCATGGGGAGGCCATGCCCAGAGCCCCAGGGTTCACTTTTATTTGCTCTAAGAGAAGCTGCTAATTGGGGTGTGGGTGGGTGCGACCTGCCCAGAGGATTTGGCAGCTGGGGTGGTGACTCATGGGTGCACCTGCAAGGTTCACCTGCAGCCACTTGGCATGTAGGTTGGGCAGATGTGGTACACGCACACCGTGGTTGGAGGGTGTTCACTTACCCATCAGAATGACAGGTGCCTGTAAAATGGGATGGTAGTCCACACCTCAGTTCTGAGGATACACCAAGTTTAAGCATTCCCATGGTGCCAAGAGTGCTTAAAAGATGCAGAGGGTTAGGGGGACCTGGCAGGAAGGAGAAAGTGCCTCTAGGCAGCGAGAATGACTGGTGCACAACTGAGAGGTAGCCTGGGCCTGGAAAGCCAGGGGAACTGTAAAATCATGGAAAGGGTGAGATGGAGGGGACATTGACCAGTGAGGAGACAGGGGCTTTTTTTGCTGGTGTCCTGAATTTTCTCTGTAAACTATAGGTTATGCAGGTCCTATAGGTTGATGCAGTGGGAAGGCAAGAGGAGGGTGCTGGGGTTACCCCTCTCACCAAATGCTAGTTACCGAAACCTTCTGGGAGCTGAGGAACCCAGCTAACCCCACTCCTCCATGCCCTGTCCTTTACCAGGCATTCGGTCCTGGGACATTGACCCTGGTGTCTGTAGCCTGGATGAGCAGCTCAAGGTCTTCGTGTCCCGGCATTCAGCCACCTTCTCCAGCATTGTAAAAGGTGAGACTGGGCTCCCCTGGTGTCCTAGCTGCTTCCCTTCCATTGTCCATTGGGCAAATGTTTCTGAATGCTAGGTGTGGCAATAGAAGGGCACAGTCATAACAGCCTCAGTAATTGTGTAGCTGAGGTTCTCCCCGGTGCTGAAAAGCAAGCAGTGGTGGGCACTGACCCAGTGTCAGTGCCCTCAGTCCTCGGCAACCCATGAAGCAAGAAGTAGTGATTTTGTCCCCTTTTTATTGATGAGGCAGCTGAGACATAGGGGACAAGGAAACCTCCAAGCAGCAGTCTTTTTTTTTTAAGGTTTATTTATTTACACATGCAAGAACTGGGGGACAGGCCAGAGGTTGGGGGTGGGGGTGTGTGTGAGAGGATTCACCAAAGACAAAGTGGGGAACAGAAACAGGCAGATCGACCAAAATACAGTACTAAGGGGAACAGCAGGCAGGTTAGGGGTGGTCTGCCACGCCACATGGGTCACCTCCCTGGCTGGGGATCGAACTCGTGTTTCAGTGGCTGCTGGTAGCTTCCTAGTGCTGTGCTTTAACCCGTTGCACCACCAGGAAGGGCCCAGCAATCTTTTGGGTCAGAAGCAGCTGGGGCTGGTGTGTCATGTGAGGCCCCAGGACATTTGGAAAGAGAGGCGCTGCAAAGATTGAGGGCCCAGAGGTGGCATAGGGGCTGGCACAGTCCCGACAAGGACTGTATGTGGCTTGTAGAGGTCACCTCCGCATAGGACCAGGTACACAGTAGGTGCTGAGTCGATGGGCTGAGAGGACGCCAGGTAGAGGACAGTTGGAGGAGGGACCAAAGCTTCTGTGGTTTCCCCACCCCAGCTTCCTCCAGCATGTGACTTCTCCAGGATTAGGAGGGCAGGGGTGACCCATGCTGAACAGAGCAACTGAGTGGCGTGGCTATTTCCTACAAACGCATCCCCCCACTCCACCCCCGGGCCCCCCTCCTCAGAATGTTGAGTCACCTCCCAGCCACTGGGCCAGGGAAGGAAGTGTCTGTCACCTCATTGTCCCAGTGACTCCTGGTCTTCCTGGCCTCTAGCAGGATGAAGGGCTGGAAATCCCATCTGCTCTGTGTGACCTTGTTGGCCACTTCTCCCTGTGTGCCTTGGTTTCCCGCTAATAATACGATATCTGTGTGCTAAGACTGATACTGACAAGCATGGTGTTTGGAACACTTTTGGGCTATGGGGTCAGACCAGGGTTTGTATCCCCTCTCCCAGTCCATGAGACCTTAAACGCCACTGACCACTTCCTGATCCTCAGAAATCTGCATGGTCCTGTCTCAGGGCCTGTCCCAGGTGAGCCCTCTTCTGGGGCTCCCTCAGTGGTTCTCCTGGCTCAGACTCTTTGTTTATAAAATGTAATGATCGTGGATACCCCACAGTAGGGCCCCACAAGCAGCAGAGACCTTGTCACTGTCATTTCCAGTGTGTGACCTTCAAGATAGCTTGTTGATCCTGCCTCACTGTGATCTGTGGCTCTTCCACGAGCCGCTAGTCCTGAGTGACCCTCTGGCTGGGTGGAGCCAGGAGACAGTCCACAGGAGCCCGTGGCTGCCTGGAGCCACACAGGGAGGCAGTGTCTCATCCTGGGACAACACCAAGCTATAGGTCTGATTGCCTCACAGGCCAACGGAGCCTGCACCACCGTGGAGACACCTTGGAGACCCTGGTCCTCTTGAACCCATCAGACAAATCCCTGTGTGACGAGGTAGGCAGGGGTCGGGGACTCTGGGGAATGGCCGGTTACCATTCCTATCCTGATCTTCCTTGTCCCTGACATCATGCTGCATGAAACCCTTTTCTCTATATCCAGGAAGCCTCTCCTGTTGATTGCAGCCTCATTTTACTCTCTCCTGGGGAAAGATTGAGATCAGAAAAGGCTGGAATTTGGGAGAAAGGGGCGGGATGGTAAAGAAGGAAGGAAGCAGGCCAGACAGCTGATGTGCTTCACCCATCTGGGTATGGTAGCTATCAACACTGAATGCTGAAGACTTGATCTTGTAGGCACCTGAAGCTTTCTGCCAGTTCTTACCCGCCAGGAAGAGAGAGAGCCCAGGGCACTCCTCTAGAGATCCTTGATCATTGGATAGAAATGCTCCCATTTGCTCCTTTAAGGGGCTCAGTTTGGACCGTACCTCCCACTGCATGGCTGTAGGGCTAGGCTTATGGGAGCACAGAAAAGGTATGGGGGTCTTCCAGGAGGAGGGGGCACTGGAGTTGGGCTTTGTAGGGTGAGCAGGACTTTTCGTGGGAGGAGACGGGGGTTGTAGGGCCCAATGGAAGGCCCTCCCAGCTTCTGTTAGAGTTGAACACTGGCCTAGCTCTGGGTTGGGACCAGAACAGGTATAGATTTGGGGCTATCCCAAAAAGGGGTTCTGATGATGTCATTGCACAGAATAGTACCTTTAACACTTTTCCTCTCACCGCCAGCTCCGGAACCTCCTATTGGACCCTGCCCCTCACAAACTGCTAGTACTCGCTGGGCCCTTCCTGGAGGACACTGGGGAGTTGCTGCTCCAGACAGGGGGCTTCTCGTCCCGACACTTTCTCCAGGTTCTGGGGGACAAAGAGGTAAGTCCCCTGCCCATCCCCATCTGGCTGTGTGCTGTAGGACCTGGCCATACCTCCCACCCTGCCGCCTCATCCCCTCCTGTTCTGTGGACAGTGGTGGTGGCACATGTGGCCCCTGCTCTCAGTCCAGCCACATGGCCTATTCCAGTAATGGTGTGGGACGGCCCAAGGTCAGTGATGTCCCAGAGGCCTCTAGTGGGGCCCAGGTTTCTGGCCCTATCTCGGACAGCTGGGAGAGGGGCGGCAGGGGGCAGGTCAGCAGAAAATGCTGCCAGCCTCTCGTTCGCACTGCCAGTGATGTGTTTGTGCAGCGATGCTGAGTCACGCCAGCACAGGGGCAGGCATGGAGCCTGTCGTGGGGAGCAAGTGCAGGGGCCAGCAGGTGGGCCAGCCTGGGTGGGGCCAGCTTTTGTTCCATGGCGACAAGAGCTGGTAAGAGACCCTCCCAACCCCGGAGCAGAAAGGGGTATCTGCCTAGTTTTCTCCAGAGTCTTGGTGTGGCCTGGCACTGTGTGGCCCCTTAACCTTCCCCTGCCCCTTTCCAGATCCAGGATCTCCTGGCCTCAGCATCACTGCCTGCAGAGCCGTCCAAGCTCACCATCACCTGTCCAACCTTCGGGAACTGGACCCACCTGGCTCCTGAAGTACTGGGCCTGCAGGGGGTGCTGCAGCTGCGGCTAAACCCCCCAGGCCAGCTGCCAGCCTCTGAGGGCCTGCGTGAGTTCCTGGAGTATGTGGCTGAGTCACTGGAGCGGCCATCTCCCTTTGAGCTGCTTGAGCCTCCGGCTTCCGTGGGCTTCCTCAGGCTTGCTCGGCCCTGCTGCTACATCTTCCCTGGGGGTCTTGGTGATGCCGCCTTCTTTGCTGTCAACGGCTTCACTGTGCTGGTTAACGGGGGCTCGAACCCCAAGTCAAGCTTCTGGAAGCTGGTGCGGCACCTGGACCGGGTAGATGCCGTGCTGGTGACCCACGCCGGCGCTGACAGCCTCCCTGGCCTCAACAGCCTCCTGCGGCGCAAACTGGCTGAGCGCGAGGAGGCAGCGGCTGACGGGGGCTCTGGGGATGACCGTCTGCGCAGACTCATCTCCCCAACCTTGGGGGTTGTGTTTCTCAACGCCCGTGTGGCAGCTTCACGCCTGGTGTGCGGTGAGGATGAGGCCGAGCTGGCTCTGAGCCTCCTGACTCGCCTGGGCCTCACGCCCCTGCCCCTGAGCCGCGGGCCTGTGCCTGCAGAGCCTACCGTGCTCTTCCAGAAGATGGGTGTGGGCCGGCTGGACATGTACGTGCTGCACCCGCCCACGGCTGGGGCTGACCGCTCGCTGGCTTCTGTGTGTGCCCTCCTGGTGTGGCACCCTGCTGGCATCACAGAGAAGGTGGTGCGTGTGTTATTTCCTGGCTGCACACCACCCGCCCGCCTCTTGGATGGCCTGGTGCGCTTGCAGCACTTGGGATTCTTGAGGGAGCCTGTGGTGACACCCCAAGATCTGGCAGGACCTCGACGTGCTGAGAGCAAGGAAAGTGTGGGCTCCAGGGACAGCTTGAGGAGAGAGAGCCGGACAAAGGCACCTGCCAGGCCTGTCCAGGAGCGCTCTGGGGTGGCCCGGAAGGAGCCACCACGGGCTGAGGCTCCCCGAAGGGCTGAGAAAGAAGCGAGGCCCTCCCGGGAGCTGAAGAAGGACCCCAAGCCTAGTGTCCCTCGGGCCCAGCCCCAAGCCCGTGAAGTGCGCCGGGCAGCCTCTTCTGTGGTCACTGTCAAGAAGGCAGGTGCCCAGGCAGCTGCTAAGCCTCGCAGAGCACCTGCTGCCACTGGCCTGGGTGGGCCACCAGCAGAGAATGGACCCCACAACCCTCCGAGCCTCCAGTGCAGAGAGGCCAGCCCTCCCACAGAGACCCACGGTTGCCCTGCCCCCCAGCCGGTGGCCACACCTAGTCAAGAGAGCAGCCTGGAACTGGGGCTGAACCTTGCCAGGGAGAATGCAGGCAGCTCACAGGAGAAGTGTCTGGAACTGCCATTGATCAATAGCACCCCTCAGCCATGTACCCCCTCGCCTGTGGAAGCCCACCAGGGCCCCGCTGAGAGCAGCGGGCGGATGTCCCTGAGCCCCCTGCGGGGCGGGGAAGCTGGGCCAGACGCCTCACCCACAGTGACCACGCCCTCACTGCCTGCCGAGGTGGGCTCCCCTCACTCCACGGAGGTGGACGAGTCCCTGTCCGTTTCTTTTGAGCAGGTGCTGCCACCAGCTCCTGCCACTGCCAATGAGACGGGGCTGAGCCTCCCGCTGCGGGGCCCCCGAGCTCGGCGCTCAGCTTCCCCACATGACGTGGACCTGTGCCTGGTGTCGCCCTGTGAGTTTGAGCACCGCAAGGCTCTGGCCATGGCCCCAGCGCCTTCATCGCCTGGGAGCTCCAACGACAGTAGCGCCCGGTCCCAGGAGCGGGCAGGCGCCGCGGGGGCTGAGGAAACCCCGCCCACGTCTGTCAGCGAGTCCTTGCCCACCCTGTCGGACTCAGACCCGCTGCCTGCCGCCCCTGGCACTGTGGACTCAGATGAGGACACAGAGGGCTTCGGGGTCCCTCGCCGTGACCCCCTACCCGAGCCCCTTAAGTTTCCCCCACCTCTGCCCACTCCACCGAGCATCTGCATGGTGGACCCTGAGATGCTGCCCCCCAAACAGGCCCAGCCGGCAGAAGGCCTCAGCCGTACCCGAAAGTCCCTTGTGCGCCCCAACCCTGGGACCACAGCTCCCAAAGCCACTCCAGCGACCACTACCAAGACCAAGGGACTGGCAAGCGGGGACCGGAACAGTCGGCCCCTCGGTGCCCGGAGCGAGCCCAGTGACAAGGGAGGTCGGGCGCCCCTGTCCAGGAAGTCCTCGGCCCCCAAGACTGCTACTCGAGGCCCAGCGGGTAAGTGCCTGGGGACCGGGATCCTGCAGTCGACTGCTGGCCAGCTCCCCTGTCCTATGTGACATCAGTCACACCCAGGGCTCCCGAGACACCCCCGATTCACTGATGGGGGGGGGCAGGCACAGTGAATTGAGACATACAGGGAAAGGACGCAGAGCAGATAAGCGAAAGGGAGGCCTCCCTCACGGGGTCCCACAGTGCCGACTTACTAATGGGGGAGCCCTGTAATTATTAGTAGTGTTCTGAAGGTCTGTGTGAGGGTCTGTCCACCAGGGGCACCCAGTAGACTCTGTACCCAGGATTTCTATTGGGGGTTGATGATGTAGCAGCATGAACCTGAATTCCTCTCTCCCAGAGGGGAAGCAGGGATCAGTGTAAGCCATGTTCTTACATGGACGGTTAGCAGACTGAGCTGCTCTTAGGGTTTGGGAGGCGGAAATCCAGTTTTCCAGACCAGCCAACCGCCAGCCTGTCAGCTTGCTGAGAAAAGCGGTCTTGGTCCCACAGTGGTTAACATTTTTCAATAGTAAACTATATGCCACAGCTTCCTGCCTTGCCCATGTTTAAGCGAGCAGTTCTGTGGCAGTAAGGCGTTCACGTGCATCCGTCACCGCCCTCCACCTCCAGAGCTTTTTCATGTTATCATGTGTGGCCTATGTCAGAATTTTCATTTTTTCAAGATTGAATAACATTCTAGTGTCTGGACAAACCATCTTTTGTTTAGCCTCTCATCCCTCAGTGGGTACTTGAGTTGCTAGGAACAATGTCTGAGATATTTTCTCTCATTCTGTGGACTGCCTTTTATATTGATAATTTTTTTTGATTCCTAAGTTTTTAGTTTGTGAAGTCCATGTTGTCTATTTTTCCTTTTGTTTCCTATACTTTTGGTGTCATATCTAAGAGATCATCAAAGTCAGTGTTCTAAAATAATTTGTCTCACATTTTCTTCTAAGAGTTTTATAGGTTTAGCTCTTTGATCAGTTGAGTTCATTTTTGTCTGTGGTGCTAATTAAGTTTCATCTTTGTGCATGTGGAGACCCAGTTTTCCAAGCACCTTTTGTTGGAGAGACTGTCCCTATTTAATGATCTTGGCGCCCTTGTCAAAAATCTTTTGACCATATGTGGGATGGTTTATTTCTGGGCTCTGTTCCATTGATTTATGTATCTGTCTTTATGCCAGAACATGTTGTCTTGTTACTGAGCTTAATAGTAAATTTAGAAATCTGGAAATGTGAATCCTCCAACTTTAAACTTTTTTGGGATTGTCTAGGCTATTTGGGATCCTTTGAGATTCCATTATACATTTTGGGATGAATCTTTCTGTCTTTGCAGAAGAGTATCATTGGAATTTTTATTTTGATCTGTAAATGGTTTTTAGTAGTGGTAATATCTGTACGATATTAAGTTTTCTGATTCATGAACATGGAGTGTCTTTCCTTCAGCTGATGGCTTTAATTTCTTTTAACAATGTAGTTTCCAAGTATAGTATTTTGTCTTCATGTTAAGATAATTCCTAAGTATTTTACTATATTTGATGTTACTATAAGTAGAGTTTCCCTAATTTCCTCTTGTACATTCTCATTGTTATATAAAAGTGCAGCTGGTTTGGGTCTACAAACTAGTACTTTGACGAATTCATCTATCAGTTCTAGCAGATTTCTTTTGTGTGTGTGTAATCTTTAGGGTTTTCTATACTATTACATTTTGTAAAAGAGATAACCCTACATTTTCCTTTCCAGTGTGTATGCTTTCACATATTTTTATTTCCTAATTGCTCTGGCTAGAATTTCTAGTCCTATGTTGAATACAAGAGGTGAAAGCGGCATCATTGCATTGTTCCTGATCTTAGAGGAAAACATTTGGTCTTGGATTGTTAAGTTGATGTGGTTTTTCAGGTGTATGTGTGTACACACACACAGCTTTTCTTTTGTTGCGGTATTTCCTTCTATTGCAGGCTTGTTGAGTGTTTATCATAAGAGTGTTGAGTTTTGTCAAACGCCTTTCTATGTCAATTGAAATGCTCGTGAGGGCTTTTCCCTTGATCTGTCAATCTGATGTGTGACATTGCTCAGTTTTTGTTTGCTGACACACCTCTGTGTCCTGGGAATAAATCCCACATGCTCATGGTGTGTTAGCATTTTACTATGCTGCTGAATGTGATCTGTTGGTATTTTTGTTGATTTTTGCATCAGTGTTCTTAAGAAATGTTGGTCTGTATTTCATTTTCATAGTGTCTTTCTCTGACCCTAGTGTCAGGTCAATGCTGGCCTCATAGAAATCATTTCTTGCTCTCCAGGTTTTTTTTGGAAATTTTTGAGGAAGATTGGTATTAGTTTTTCTTTAAGTGTTTGGTAGAATTCACCAGTAAGTCCTGAAGGTTTTAGTCATTGATGCAATCTCCTTACTAGTTATATTTCTTTCAAAATTTTCTGTTTCTTTGTGATTCAGTATTAGTTTTTCTGAGAATTAGTACTTTTTTTATATTTGTTGGAGTACAGTTATTCATAGTAATTTCATAGTATTTTTTATTACTGTGGAGTCAGTAGTGATATCCCTATTTTCATCTCTGATTTTACAAATTTGAGGACTTTTTTCTTTGCCTTTTTAAGTTAGAAGAACCAACTTTTGGTTGGTTTTTTTCTCCTGTTATTTTTCTGTTTTCTAAAATTTTTACTGTTTTAATTATTTCTTTCTAGATTTGAGTTTAACTCTTTTTTCTAGTTCCTCAAGTTGTAGATTTATTGTTGACTTTTTCTCTTACATCAAATACAAGCATTTATAGTTATGAACTCCCCCTTTAGCCTTCTCTCAAGAGATTATCTCTTCGTCTCTCAACAGTTGGATTATGTATCTCAGTGTCTCTTTGAGTTCTTCCCACTTGGACTAACTGAGCACTTTTATTTTATTCTCTGCCACCTTCTCGTATATATCTTTAACCCTTTCTCCCTAGAACCCTTGCTCTTAACCTCAGAAGCCTCATATCATTTATTAGCATCACTATATATTTTTTATTATAATAGTTTATTTTTATATATTTTTGTGCATTTTTCCATCTCAGTTGCATCCCTTTGGTTTTCCCATGACCAAAATCACCCATGTGCCATCACCATAGTCCAGTGCATTTCCCTCCTCCTGCTGTTTTTGATCCCATTCCTCACTGCACCTCCACAAAATGTCTCTGGTATATAGCTGTTCATCATTATCATTATTTCTTCTCCTGTTCTATTATATTCCTGCTATGAGAGAAACCATCTGGTATTTTTCCTTTTCTTTCTGGCTTATTTCACTAAGCATGATCTTTTCCAGCTTCATCCATGTTGCTGCAAAAGACATGTGTTCATTTTTTTTTTGGTTGCTGAGTAATATTCCATTGTGTATATGTACCACATCTTTTTAATCCGTCTCCACTTTTGGGCATTTGGGCTGTTTCTATATCTTTCCAATTGTGAATAAAACAGCAATAAACATGGGGGTGCAGGTATCTTTTTGAATCAGTGTTTTTGTGTCTTTTGGGTAGATACCTAGGAGTGGGTCATAGGGTAGCTCCATGTTAAGCAGTTTGAGGAACCTCCAAACAGTTTTCTGTAGTGGTTGTACTAGTTTACATTCCCACCAGCAGTGCAGGAGAGTTCCTTTACTCCACATCTTCGCCAACATTTGTTGTTGCTAGTTGTTTCAAGATGTGCCATTCTCACTGGGGCGAGGTGGTATCTCATTGTGGTTTTAATTTGCATGTCCCTTATCACAAGTGATGTTGAACATTTTTTCATATAACATCAATAAAGTCCAACATTTATCTTTTGACTTGCTTTACTACACGTAATTCCCTCCAGTTCCTCAACCCAGTTCTCTATCTGTGGGCACTTAGTTGTTTTTGTATCCTAGCTATTGTAAATAGTGCTGCAGTAACAGCAGAATACATAATTTTTTGAGTTGATGATAGATGCCCAAGAGTGTTTCCATTTTTAGTTTTTGAAGATAAATCTAAAAGGTAAACGTTCTCAGCTTTGCAGGCCAGCTGTCTCTGTGCCATATTCATCTCAGTGGCTTTAGGGCAAAAGCTGCTCAGTAATACCCGAGTGGGCATGTGTTCCAGTAAAGCTAAGCAAAGCAACAGCAGCCAGACCACAGCTTGTGGCTCCTGCTTGATCACTATCCTGCCCATGGCCCCCTTTTTCTCTTGTCGCCATTACGCTCTGCCGCTGACCTCTGCACACTTTCTGCAGCTGTGATGATCTTCCCTTCCCAAGGCTCCCCCAGGTGCTTGCTTTCTCCATCCCTAGCTGTGGTGGGAGGCTGCCAGCCCCGAGCTGGGCAGTGTTTACGGTTGGTTGTAGGATGGCAAGTGTTGAGCAGACTGCTCGCCTAGCGCACTACTGTGATGAGTTGGTGATGAACCCACATGGCCAGGAGAGGTAGGTGCCTCCCCTCACACTCTGGGATCACTGTCTGCATTGAGATCACCATGTCCTGAGTCTCCCTTTGCAGCTCTGTTCCTCCCATTCCCCCTCTGGGGCTAGGGTTTTTTGTCTGTCTTGGTCACCACCATGTCCTCAGGGCCCAGTGGCCCAGGAGGGTATGATCAGTGTTTCTGAGTAATTGAACAGGTGGAGGCTGCAGAAGCAGCAGAGCATTCCAGGTCCTGGCTGCTGTGGGAACTGGAGCTTCTAAAACCCCCCTTTCTGGAAGCCCTCCTCAATTGCCCCCACCCTTTGGCTCTAGAGTTGTCTGTGTTCTGGGACGACCAGAGAGGCTTCAGGCGCTGAGAGTTCATTGTCAGGGCGATGCTGTACAGAGAGAAGCCAATGATGCTGAGAGCCTTGTCTTGGCCCCTTTCTGGTCTCAGGAACGCATGACTGACCCTGTTCCTCTTGCTTTTAGGGGCAACCAGCAGCCGTCCAGGAGGCTCGGCAGCTCCACCTGGCTCTCCTGTCTACCTTGACCTGGCCTACCTGCCTAGTGGGAGCAGCACCCGCCTGCTGGATGAAGAGTTCTTCCGGCGTGTGCGTGCCCTCTGCTACGTCATCAGCGGCCAGGACCAGTGCAAAGAGGAGGGCATGCGGTCTGTGTTGGATGCACTGCTGGCGGGCAAGCAGCAGTGGGACCGCGACCTCCAGGTGTGCAGCTGTCTCAGGCCTCAGGCAGGCCTGACAGTGCTGAATGTCATTATGACATTGCCCAAGCTCCTTACATGGAGCATGGGGTGAGGCGTCTTCCTGTTAACCCTGTGACATCAGTGCCGCCTTTGTCCAAGACACAGAGGAGGAGCTAGATTGTCTCCACAGCAGTAAGACAGTGAGGCCAAGCGCAGCAGTCCCTCTCAGTTCGCAGGCCCTCGTTCCCATCGTGTCCTTGTCCTTGTCTGTCTGCAGCAAACCTGGACACCGAGAGAGGGTTTGACTCCCTGACTTCTAACTACTTTGGTGTCATGAAAAATAGCCAAGGGAAGTGGTGGGGTATATGCAGCTAAGAAAGCTGAGAATTTATGCAGAGGTGATGGTTGCTCAAAGCCTTGAGATAGAAGTGGAGTCTTAAAGGTTGAGAAAAATCCAGGTGGGTAGGGAAGCTTCCAGGTATCTGGTACCCGTGTGTGTGAGCACCGACACCAGCCTTGCATGAGCGGGGCAGCCCCTACTCTCACACAGCTTTCAGAGCAGAGTCCCAGGTGGCAGGGACAGCATGGAGGTGGGAGCCAACCTGACTAAGCACGCAAGCAGAGGGGCAGCAGAACAAGATAAGAGATGAGATGGAGGCAGAGGGTCAACAGGAAGCATGGTGGTGGTCCAGGGATTCGTGAGGGTCCATGGGTGCTGTGGAGAAGAGAAGGGGCTTCGGGGTTGGTCCTGCTATAAGCATCAGGTGATGTACGAGCAGAACGTGGGATGGGCTGGGAGGCTGCTTCACTCAGTGTCGGTTCACTTGTCTTCCCGCAGGTCACCCTGATCCCTACCTTCGATTCAGTGGCGATGCATGAATGGTATGAGGAGACACATGCCCAGCACCAGGCTCTGGGCATCACAGTACTGGGCAGCAACAGTACTGTTTCTATGCAGGATGAGGCCTTCCCTGCATGCAAGGTGGAGTTCTAGCCCCTCCCCACCACCAGCACCTGCCACTGTTCTGAGATTCTCCTGCATCAGAAATAAACCAGGTACTTCACTTGGCTATGGCCTCACTTCCTCATACTAAATGGGAGACTTAGTCATTGTTGGCCATTGGGCCCTTAGTCCCAGGAACTGAGAGTCTGTGGACTCCTGTGGCTCCTAGGTCAGCCCCAAGGGTGAGAGTAACGACCATGCTATCCATTGCCCTCCAGTCCAACCCAGTGACCATATGGGACCATTATACAGACAGGAAGCTGGCGCGCACACACACCCCAGAGTCAATTGCAGGACCCTCACCACACAAACCAGTCAGTGCTGAGGTGAGCTGTGAACCCAGTCTCTGCTCCAAAACCATTAAACAGATGAACCTCCACTTCAGAAACACTGAGCTCATGGCAGGAGAGGCACTCTGCAGGAAGGACTCTGCAGGAAGGACTTTGTCTCTGCACCAAGATAGAAACACCTAGATAGAATATTAGGCAAGGGGCCATCAAGATGATTGAATGCCCACCCCATCAACCACATTAGTCTGAACCCCAATACCTGTGAGTATCCTCACATATGGAAAAAGACTCTTCATGAATGTGATTAAATGGTAGGTCTTGAAATAAGGTCCTCCTGGACTAGGGTGACCCTAAATCCAATGACACGTGTCCTAAGAGACAGAAGAGGAGATATAGAGAAGGCACATGAAGCCTGAGGCAGAGAATGGTGTGACACTTGGAGCCTTCAGAAGCTGGAAGAATCAGGAAACATCCCTCCCTGTGCCCTCAGAAGGAGCCAGCTCTGTCCACATGTAGACTTCAGATTCCCAGTGTCTAGAACCAGGAGAGAATAATGTCCTGTTTGTAGTTTCCAAAATGTGACCCTTGGTGATGGGGGTCCCAGGACACTCAGCACAGCATGGCCTTACCCAGCACGTCCGCACACTGCTCTCTTCCTGCACAGAGACCGGTCCCTGTGTGGCTGTCTGCATGTGGTTCCATGGTACAGGTGCCTATGAATCTCAGGCCATGTCCAAGTGTGTTCAGGCTGTCAGAGTACACTTGTCTCCTGTCATCTAAGGTGTCAGTGAGCCACAGTCAACAACCGTCCAAAAATATTTCATAGAATAAGATATTTTGACAGACCACATTCACCCAAATTTTACACTATATACATTTTATTGTAAAAATTGTTCTTTTTTTTTTTTTTCAAGATTATTTACGCATACAAGAACTGGGGTACAGACCAGAGGTGCATGAGGATCATGAGAGGATTCACCGGAGACAGAGTAGGGAACAGAAAGGGCAGGTTGACAAAGTACACTGCTGAGGGGAGCAGTGGGTAGGAAAGGAGAGAGTTGCGCCATGTGGGTTATCTCCCTGGCTGAACTCATGCTGCAATGGCTGCGGATAGCTTCAGAGTGCTGAGACTTAACCCTTTATGTCACCAGGGAGGCCCAAAATTGTTCTATTTTAAGTTTTTGTTTTAAATCTCAGTGTACCTGAAAAAAAAAAAAATCTCAGTGTACCTGATTTATAAGTTAAACTATTACAGGTATGAATATATAGGAACAAACAGTACTTGCATGGTGTCATCAGGCTGTCCGTGGTTTCACTTATCCACTGGGGATCTTGCAACAGATGCTCTAAGGATAACGGGGACTCCTGTGCACAGACTGGAGGTGAGGGGGCTGCTTAAACAACACATTTCTCTCTCACAGTTCTAGGAGCTGGGGAATCTAAGATCAAGGTGCCACAGAGTTAGATTCTGGGCAGGATTCTCTTCCTAACTTGTAGCTAACAGCTTTCATCCTGTGTCCTAACATCTTGGCCAAGGAGCACTAGTTCTGGCAAGTTCTCTGGGGCCCTTATAAGAGTGCTAATCCCATCATGGGAAGGCCACTCCTGAGTGTATCTAACCCTAATTACCTTCCAGAGGCCCCACAGCTGGACACCATTACTTGGGTATTAGGACATTTACTTACAGATTTTGAGTTTGTGGGGAATACATAAAATCAGGGTCACAGTTGCAGGGCCAGCAGCAAGCATGAAGGTCCTTGCAAGGATTGGTTTCAGCGCTTGGCAGCTTCCTATGGGAGCTGTCCAAATGGTCACTCGGTTTCCATGAGAAATACTGAGCTCCATCTCTGGAACCAGGTTGTTGGGACAAGCAGGTGGACATTGGGTGGTCCTGTGAGAGCCCACAAGGACACAGGAGCCATGAGAACCCTATGGTGATGCCAGGGGCTGGTATCCAGTCATCATCTCAGTGCACACTTGGCCGCCAGGAGGGGGCGCAGTGGCAGGCAAGACTTAAGGTGCCCTGGGATCCCGCTCAGAGACTGCTACTCCACTCCCGTCACCATTTCCACCCCCTACTTCCAGGGAAGTAAGTCCTGGGTCTCACCAAGTTGACTCAACACAAAGTCAGCACTGAACACTCCTGCTGCCAGGCTGGGCGAGTTATGTTTCTTGCCCTCCTGTGGTCTGTTAGTCCAGGTCTCCAGACAGGTTATTTCATACACAAGGCTGCATCCCCCTCCAATTTTCACTGACCTAAACTGTTGGGTCTAAGTGTTATCTTCTCACTTCTTTCCTAACCAGAGAGATTTTCATTGTTTAACTTTATTTAACTAGTAAGATGTTTGTCCCTTTTTTATTCATGTATCGCAATTTTTTCAATAGAGACAATGAACTTTAAAAAATAATAATTGTGGGCCCTCCCTGGTGGTGCAGTGAGTTAAAGTACAGCACTAAGAAGCTAAAGCCACTTCCACATGAGTTCGATTCCTGCCTGCTCTGGCGTCAGACCTCTCCTGACCCGCCCGCTGCTCCCCTCAGCAGTGTACTTCGTCGATCTGCCTGTTCTGCTCCCCACTCTGTCTCTGGTGAAACCTCTCGCCGCCCCTGAGCTCCTGGCCTGTATCCCAGTTCTGTATGCACAAATAAATCTTTTAAAAAATAATAATAATAATAATTGTGAACAACTATATATCAGAGAATTTTACGGGGGTGGAGTGGGGAGTGGGATCAGAAATGTGAGGGGAGTGCACTGGACTATGGCGATGGCACACAGGTGATTTGGTGATGGGAAGCCCACGGGGATTACAAGTGAGATGGAAAAGGCACAAAATGATGTAAAAATAAACTATTATTTAAAAAAAAATTGTGGCAATAAACAGAACGTAAAGTTTACCATCTTAACCACTCATAAACTTCTGTGTTACCTTTATGGCAAAACCATTCATGTATTTATGGTTTTCAAGCCACAATCATTAAATCTCTCTTGGTACTTTGGGAGAGCTTTCTGCAGCTGACACAAGTTCTCCCTAAAACAAATTGTTTATAAGTCCTTTATTTATTTTACCATCTAGGGTCTTGGAAAGAAGAGAAGTAGGGTTGTCCCACCCCCAAGGGCTGAGTGACTGTCCCACGCGCCCTCTTACTGTGTGAGATAGTATGTGTTGGTCTCTTTCTGAATCTGCTCTAACCCGGCTGACTTCTTTTCCATGCTGTTTTCACTGTTGAACAAATAGATCATTAGGTGGTTTTGTCTATTATTTTCCTTCATCAATTCCCTCGTTTTCCCATGCTCGTTCCTGCTGGAGGTACGCAGATCTCCACAGAGTGGCCTAGAGTATAGGTGGAAGTGCAGGAGAAGTGATGTCAGCTTCTGCTTCTGACCAGAAATTGAAACCAAGCCGCCCTCCCTCCCCCTACCCCCCAGTAACAACAGCTGGAAATGCTGGAGTGAGTTGGGCCAGACAGCTTTGGTCTTCAGTTTTCCTGGACCTTCAGGTGGCGGCTCTGCCAGGACCGCAAAGGGTGGTTTCAGAGTCAGAGTTAGTTTTCAGACAGAAAGGAAACTTGGGTATCTCGACCCGTGCAGTTTGGAATTGGGGGTACAGTTGGAGGTGGTGAGTCAAGTCCCATGACTCGTGACCTCACATAAGTCTGCAACCCTGACATTATTTGGGCGTCTGCTGGCGTCCTGCAGACAGCATGGTTTACAGCGGTCTAGAATGGTAGTGACCATACCGGGCTGCTGGAAGAACCTTCGCCCTCCAGCCTTGAAGCATTTTCCCAGTCATATCCCAGTGAGTATGAATTACCATCAAAAGTCAGAACTTGCTGTGCTTGGGATACAAATGAAATGATAGCAGCCAGGACTTCCAGCTTGGGATCATCAGACCCAGCATAGGTATGTTTAATTTTGAATTGTGAACAAAGCAAAAGGTAGCAATATTTGGAGAAGAACCAAACAGAAGAGAAATTCAGTGAATCACAGATTTCAAACAGTGGATGGAGTTGACCATGGACTTGAGATGGCTGAAGAGATCTGGAGATGGGACTGAAGAAATTCCCAAACATCAGAAAAGAAAAGGGAAATTGAGAGAACAGAAGCAACTGTGAAGGAGGATAATGACAGAATTTTCTAGAATTCAATAAAGACATTAATATTTTCAGAATGCCCCCAAACAGAATGACAGAACGCTTAATGAATGAAAGTGCAGAAAAACAAAGTTGACAAGCAAAGCAAGAATGACAGCTGGAGAGCCAAGGCCCCGCCCACACCAGGGAACCCAGGACAAAGTGGGGAGCCTCTTCAAGGACAGAGGGAAACAGCCACGTCTCTTAACTGGAATTCTTCTGAGAAAGGCAGCATGGGGCAACTCTCTGACTGTGTGAGTGTCGGTGTATAATTCCCTAAACCTGGACGGAGCAGCCCCTACGCCGCTAGGCTGGATGGCACAGTGCTGGCTCCAGCTTCACATATGCAGTCCACACTGAGGAAAGGCCATTTAGCGTCCTGTGGCGATAACAACCCGGGAACTGTCACCCAACAAGAAATATCTTTGGAGGATGTGGAAGAAATGAATTCCGTCTTTGATCTAAATTCTTTTTTTTTTTTTAAGATTTATTTATTTACGCATACAGAACTGGGGTACAGGCCAGAGGTGCAGGGGCGGTGAGAGTATTCACCAGAGCAGAACAGGCAGGTTGACAAAGTACACTGCTGAGGGGAGCAGTGAGTAGGCCAGGAAAAGTCTGCTGCGCCATGTGGTCACCTCCCT